AAAATGTAAATTCCAACATGTGAAGTGACAGGGAATCAATTGTCTTGGGGTTGGTTAATTATTCATAATGGATTGCAAATGTTAAACACATGACACATATGCACCTGGAGTCATATATAAACAGCGTGATGCTGCCTGAATGCGTGTTATAATGGAGAGTTTGAGAAATTAGCACAAACATGGCATATATGTGAGCTTTTCGTGGTCTGCATAATATTTAATCTAAAAGTATATTCATGAGAAACCTTTGTGTTTTTACTACCATTGATATTTAGAAAAGTACAGTGCATTCGGAGCAGTAACAACCTTAAACACCAGAGCATGCAGTCTGCTGTCTGTCGTACTGTATGGCCTGTTTGTGCTATGATTTGTGTGTCAGTGGAACCTGTTACTATAGGAGCTGTTTGACCAAACTGATCTGTTATGTCTGACACAGAACCACACTGTGATCCTGAGGTGTGACAAAATGTCATGGCTACAAAAACTGCTTCTGCTTTCTCTGAAATCATTGACGCTGGTGTGACAGAGCAAAGCCAAGTGCATCCAGTAGCTCTGGATGCACTTGGCAGAACAGGCTAGAGTTGAACAGGTTTTGGCAATATGATCACATATATACTGTGAGATAACAGAAACATGGAAGCTACACGGTGGATGTCCCTGGTAATTGTAAACCACCCTTGCTTAATGTTAACACAGGATTTTCAGATTTGTCTGGATTAACCGAAAAGCAGGAATTCCTCTCTGGTTATTTAACTGATGAAAAGCCCATTTGGCTCCAAATGCTGTACTTTTTCTAAATGTAATAAAAAAATATATAAATTTGGACAGTGTTGTACTTCACTGTGCAAGTGTAAGGACATTGTCCATTTTTTTGGACTCAGTACCTTTAAAAGAATGTTTTTCACACTAATTGCTTGGTTATTTCATCCAAATGGTTTCTCGAAGGGTATTTCAGAAAATTGACCATGCCACAATATCATGATAAGAACAATGCTAATAGAACATTTTTATCCCTATCACCCCTCACATCTAGTGGGGAACACATCTGAATAATAATTATCTATATTTAGTAATATAATATATATAATATGATCATTTGTTTCTTAGAGACATTCACATGCACAATGATTCTTAGAAATAAAAACATGGATATGAACAGGCCGTCACTGTTCTCCACTACAACAGTCTGTATCAGAGAACTGTATGCTGCCATCAATCCCAGGAATACACAACTATAAGATTCCCGGCAATATTACAGTAATTACTCTACTGACAGAATATTTTGGCAGCTCGTTTGATAATTGATTACTCATTTTAATCATTTTTAAAGAAGAAATGGTTTATCTTTCTCATATGATTTCACAGACAATATATTCATCGTCGATTAATTAGCCAATTATCCTTTGGATTATTCAAGAATGAAAATAATGATTAGGCTGCAGCGTTACAGTATTGTAATAGGTGAAATCCCAGCTGATGTCTGATCTCATATCAGGATATTGGTATTACACTGATATATATCCGCCCCCAGCTCTGAACAGGCCTCCATAAACGCAGGGAGGCTGACTCAGTGTGTCTGACTGATGCAAAGAGACATGATAGGAACCTGTGTGAGGTGGTCCAAGATATGGTGCGTTTTACAAGTCAAATGACAGAAAATCCTTCCAAACTCGTGTGTGTGTGTGTGTGTGTGTGTGTGTGTGTGTGTGTGTGTGTTTGAGTGGTTTAAACAAATCAATTCACTTTTTTTTCTAGTTGATGTAAATGATCCCTACATGGAAACAAACCTCGGTCCCTTTGTTTTGTCTTTTCCATCTAGCGTGCACCGCACACCCGCACACACACAACTAGGTGAGTCACCTTATTAAAATGAATGTTCATTAACATTTCTACATGTAAATCAGTTAGAATAAGTCATTCTTTTCATTTCTCCCACACAAAATCTGCTATTCACTATTTATACGACACACAAGAAATATTATAGAAACACCTTCCACACACACACACACACACACACACACACACACACACACACACACACACTCAAGGTTACAAATGTAGAAATTCAGCCTGGCAGAAGATAGCTGGAATCTTGTCAGCCACTGAGCTGTGTCTTTCTTTTCTCATCCCTCTGTTCCTCTATCCTTCCCTTCTTCATCTCCTTTCTCCTCTGCATCGCTCTCTTTCCCTTGCTCACGGTCACTCCTGCCCACTCCTGCCTCCTTGCCTGGCCTCCTCCACTGACCCAGTCCTCTCATAGCCTGTCTGAAATATTGATAATGGACTCTCACTCTCTTCCTGACTGTCTGTTTTCTCCTCATGTTCCCCTCTGTGGTGAATCAGCAAACCAAACCAGCAAACATCCAACCAAACCCTGTGTGCTTGTGTGCGTGTGTGCCTGTGTGTGTGTGTGTGTGTGTGTGTGTGTGTGTGTGTGTGTGTGTGTGTGTGTGTGTGTGTGCGTGTTTACACCACTTTTCACTGCAGCACACCAGACACTGCAATGCAATGAAGGTGTGTGACAATGAACATAATCCAGACAGACCCCTCTGGAGGAGCCAGCGTGGGACACCCTGAGTCCCTCTGCACTTCTCTGAGGCCCAGGGGATACTAATCACGTGCCCATGAATATTTCACGTGCACTCGTGCCTCGCACTCCTATACTACTGACCCAGCTTTAATGGCAGCTAGAAGTATGAGGCCAAGCACAGCAGCACATCAGATCCCTGTCCCTCAGTGATCAAATGGCCCTTGACAGCAGCAGCAGCAAAGGAGCAGGGCACCTTACAGAGAGAGAGAGAGAGAGAGAGAGAGAGAGAAAGGAGGGGCGGGGTACATCCTCATAGCCTATATCCATATCTTACCGTCAATCCTCCGGTTTCCCTCCTCCTCGTCCTCCTCGCTCACTGCGTCTCCCGCCGCATCCCGTCTCTCCGCGCCCTCACGCACCCACTGTACTCTCCTCCCTTTCTCCCGCTCCGCTCCGCCCGATGCATGAAACAAATAAAATATTCAATGGGGGAAATTGTGGTGGGCGATACCTGCTGCTGGGCTATACGGCAGTCATTAGCGCGATGTGTCTAACAACAACTGGGCGTCCTCCTCCTGTGTGATCAGTGTACTGTGCGGGGCTCTGCTCTGCTGGACCTCACACCCTCCCTCCGTCCTGTTCGAGGCTCGATGTCTTTCCCCGCTGTGCTGTGTGACTGCGCGTCACGTTGGTATCATAATTCCCACGGGTTTCATGCCCAGAGATGGTGCGGGCTTATAGGCCTTATAGCTCCGATGGGTGAATGGAGGCAAATACGCGGCGATCGCACGCGAAAACAATAATTAGGCGCAAATTAACGCACAGACCTGGGCTGTTCCGTCTCCCTCCGTCGATTTCTACAGTCCGTCAAGCCCAGTGGTCGTTTGTCACTGTTGATCATGTGCTTCCGATATTACATCCTTGCATTTAATGGAAAATAACGTCGACGTGATGACAGCCGCTTTGCATATCCTTGAAGAATCGTGATGAGGCGCAGCAGCACATCAGGACGGACGCAGGGATGTATCAGGCTTTTTAATAAAAAGGCAGGAACCGTGTTATAAAAGGATGCTGTGATAATAAAAAGCAAAAAAAGACAGCAGCTGGAAAGAAGGAGAGATAAGGTTTTCCGCTCCTGGCCTCGCCTTGCATCCGTTCTTCTCTCTTCTTCTTCTGGCGCTCACTCTCTCTCTCTCTCTCTCTCTCTCTCTCTCTCCATCCGCTGGTCCGCTTGTTGCGCGTTCAGCACTCGAGAGCGCGCAACGCGTGTGTGCCTCTGCGTGCGCACGTGTTTTTATGTGTGCGCGTGTGTACGTGTGCAGAGGCAGGGAGAGAAGCAGGGGGGGCTTCGACTATATTATCAAGGTTTGTCTGAGTGAGCAACAATAAGCTGCTGTGTAGGCAAAAGGAAAATATGGAATAAACAGCGGCTCATGTTTATTTAGACCGCTGTGTCTTTTCACAGGTCTGACCTGCGCGGATTTATGTTTAGCATTTACGTTTCTCCAATGACAAGAACACGAAGAAAGAGGAGCTATTGTTTTTGCTGTGCAGCACAGCAACCACAGGCATTTGCAGTATTTCCTCTGGAAGAGCTTTGTGTGGAGCTGCTCTGACAGAGATTGTTACCTATCTGTCAGCCTGTCCATAACACTGGACGCTTGGAAATAAATCATCATGCCACTGCCATTTATAACGCACATGAAACCAGTCACACCTTGATGACACCTGATGACATGTTGGTTTCATCATCTGTCTCTGCAGATGCACTTTTACCCCATCTGCTCCTGCCATTAGTTTACTCCTATAATGCAAAAAAAGCACTCCACTGCTTTTTGGATTTGCCTTTCCGAGGAGAAGTACTGTGGTTAAAGCTCAGGTCACTCTGAGGATAAGAAGGAAGAAAACCTTCTCGTCTGTTGATAGATTATGAGCTGTTGCAAATGCTAAAAGCCTCATCTCTGCAGTTTACATGTGAGAGGAAGCATGCAAAGGCTAAACACGGTCCTCAGTATGAAAGAGGCTGAGTCAAAGGAAATCACTGATTATGTAGAAAAGCCAGTTTCTACATAATTTTACTTGACTCCCTTTGAATAGCTCTGATTGCTTCTTGTGTAGTCTATAAAGTGGAGCTAGACTTCATAAACACTCAAAGCACAACAGTCCCTAACAAAATTATTTTAATGGTGCTGAATAATTCATTGATTTCAGATTATGCATGGTGTGTTTTGATTGGATGGTACAAATGATCATGTAAAAGAAGTGCATTGCATTACAGAGCTATGTCGTTGAAAATGGAGAAATGGTTAGAATAATCTCCTGGGTATCATAAAACAAGCCATAATGGCAAGACTTGGCTCAGACCTAACCTTGGCTTGACTGTGTACTTGGCAGCATTCAAAGACATTAAAAGACAGCCAATTCTAAGCTGAGGTCAGCATTGGTTGGCAGTATTCAGATTTCCTTTAGATAGTGTTTTACATAACTTTTTATTGGTTGTTGGCATATCCATAGCCCAAACTTATGTTAGACCACAGCTGTTGCTTAGCGCTGATAAAGAAAGCAAAGCACAGTCACAGTAACATCAGTTAGGCATTTCTACTTCTTGAAAAGGATGAGGAATGTCTGTATTTTCTGACTTTCAGCTGTGAAAACATTGGCTGCATCTGTAGAAGAACGTGTCAAAGCTTTAATAACTAATCATGGCAACCTCAGTCAAGTCCTCTTGTTGTTGTTCTCCATCATAATGGTAACCCTCCTTTGTCTTTGTCGACCTCTGCATCCTCCTCTCCCCCTCTGTGCTTTTTTTTCTTCTTTTTCTTCTTCCCATCTTCCACTTTGTACTTCAGTCTCCTCACAGGGTCCGTCCAGCTGCGCATGGACTTCTGCTCAAAGTCCTCACTGATCATGAAGCTCCTGTCGATGAGCTCTGCTGCTTCCTGCCAGTTGCGGTAGCAGTCTGGGCCGAGGCTGAGTATCTCCTCCACTGCATTACGGATGAGGATGGAGCAGTCGGGACGCAGCACCACCACAGTGGGCAGCTCCTCCACATTAAACATGGCCTCCAGCTCCCTGTGGACACACGCACACACACACACACACACACACACACACACACACACACACACACACACACACACACACACACACACACATTGGCACACACATTGGCAAAGGCTAATGGATTTACACAGCTAGGTGTATTTACATTACAATCATCCACCAGCAGGTTGTGCACACAACTAACTGGCCAATCCCACACACCTCCTGTAGGGGTCCTCGTAGGCCAGGAACAGGCACCTCTTGGGCAGCTCTTTGAGGAAGCTTTCTTGCTCGTCCTCTGACTCGTCCAAACTAATGGATGTAACAAAAAGGAAGACCATGTTGCAAGGATGGACAGATAAACTAAAAAGGAAAAAAAAAACCTACCCAAATGTTTGTTTGCATATTCCTTTTCTTTATGAGGACATTTGGTCCTCACAAAAATACCAATACACATATGGGCAATGACTCAGAAATAGAAGGACGATCAAAATCCTCCCATCTGAGGATATTTTACTGGTATTTCTCATTGCCAAGAGATACAAAGAGATTATAGTAATATATGTACAAGGTTACACAACCACATGCACTACATGTGCACACAGAAAGGTTTAAATTGAGCAGGTGATTTTGTTTAGGTTTTAGGATTTGAGAATGAATGTGATTTATTGCCAGTTAATGCAAGTCCTAAGTACTAACAACACCCTAATGCTTAAGTGTGCGTGTGTGTGTGTGTGTGTGTGTGTGTGTGTGTGTGTGTGTGTGTGTGTGTGTGTGTGTGTGTGTGTGTGTGTGTGTGTGAGTATGTTGTACCTAATGTACAGGAGAACCAGCTGAGCTGAGCGATCCACATAGGATTCATCTGTCAAGCGTTTGAAGAAGTCGGCGAGCGTGGGCGCAAACTGCTGGCAGCTCTCACAGGCAGCAGATGCAAAGAAGAGCATCAGGATGCGGTTCTGCAGGCGCATGACAATCTCACGCTCTGTATCCAGCTCATCCTGGTCCCTGTTGTTCTTCACCAAGACCCGGTCAACGAACAGGTCCACCATGGCCAAGTGGGACCGGAAGGAGGGCCGAGGCTTACAGGAAGGTACAGGGAGAGATGAAACAAAGACTTTATGTACACTGGTTTAACAGGGAAATCTACTTTAGTGAAACAAAAAGATAATTGTGAAGGTTTTCACATGTATACATGTCCAGCATGAAGAAAGTGCAGACTAACAATAATAACACACATGAGAATACCATTTATCTTGAATACTGTGTGATTTGACAACTCTTCCCTTTAAATTAGACTGTATGTATTCTACTCAGACAGACTTATAAACCTCCCATTAATATTATGAGTCCATCTTGCAGGCTGTTAAATCGGATAATCCTCACAGTTGCTTACCTCTTACAAATATTATCTCCCCTTGAGGCCGCAAATCCAAAAAGAAAACAGCCTTCAAAATATCAGGGTTTTTTTCTCTTTTCAACTCTTCCTGGTTTGTACTTGAATGAGTTCCCAGCCTGTCAGTTCATATCACATTCACTCATTGACTGTGTCTCCTTCACCTTGATGGCAGTAGCTGCTCACTCCCTCTTCCTTTGTGTCTCTGCGCTCCACCTCCTCCCTTCTGTCTGGGAGGGAGGGATTGAAAGGCAAGGTGACAGAGGGACAAGGGACATGAAGTGCTAGCAGCAATTGTGTGTGCGTGGGTGTGTGTGAAGGCAGTGACTGAGCGAGAAAGCATAGAAATTACAGAATGAGAGACATGCTTGAAAAAATAAAAAGACCTTAATGAAGTGAGCCACAGTGAGACCTTTATTATTCAGTAACTAAAGGAGGAGCAGAACCACAGGGAATGTCTGGTTACTGATAGTCAGATTCACTCTACTGAGAACACCACAATATGGTCCATGAAGCCACACATAGACACAGTTTGTTGGCAGAATAGAGAATTTATTAATACAACTTATATTTATTTTTTTAGGACCAGTGTGTAGGATTTAGTGGCATCTAGCGGTGAAGTTTAAGATTGGAACTAACTGAAAACCGCTGGCTTCTGTATTTGACGACCTGAGAATGAGAAAGGGCTGTTTAGTGTGTAGGAGAAACTACAGCGGCTGCGAGACTTGTGAAAAACACGAAAGGCCCTATCTACAGCCAGTGTTTGGTTTGTCCAAAATGATATTCCATTTCTGCTAATAGTTCGTCCCAAATATTGCACAGTGGACCTTTAATAACAAGACAAAAGTGATTCGACGCAACAGAGGATTGCAAATAATGTTACAAATAAATAACAAATTGACAGTGCTTGACAAAATATTAATTCAAGTTTTAAAACACCAGCAGGCGCCAGCGCCTAAATGTAGTTTAAAGTTCTATATTTTGGCCACTTGGGAGCATAAAAACTCCCTAAAAATGCAAGAAAACACATAGCCATAACATATTATTACTCTGTGCTAGAAATCTTTTGGTTAAACATTTGGGTTTTTACTCATCCAGCAGACACAGAGCAACATTATCATTCATTTGAAGTTGTATTTCTGTCCTGATGAGTCCAATAAAATAAAATTCTCCTCTTATAGCTCTGCTTCTCCACCAGCTCCTGAGAAAAAATATGTGGGTCTCTAGCTGCAAGATGTTAAACTTTCTTCAGTAGCTTGTCGTTAACCTTGGCTGTTTGTCATTTGCTGCTGTGCAGCTGAAAACATCTGCCTGGTGCTGTGGGAAATGGGGTGGATGTGAATTAAATGACCTGAATGACCACAAAACATTAAGCTAAAAGAGGTGAAAAAAGAGCTGCACAGTTGGGTTAGTCTCTAAGAGTAACCCCTTTCTCACTACAAATAGTCATTTGATCCACTCTTCACACATACTGATTTGTGAAGCTTTAAATTGGGATTCTGGGACTTATATAGACAGATACCATTTTAGACACATATATGAATGTTTCTGTGTTTGACTGAAAACTCCTCATACTGGTCTGGATCATAACTTGGCAGTAATAATAATAATAATAGTAATAATAGGAAGAAAAGAATGCAATTATGTATACATATACATATATATAAATATAAAATACACTTGACCTCTGGCCACACAACAATGGATCTCGTTTCAGTGTGCTTCTTTGTACGTGTCATTGCAAGCAGACAAAATGCTCTTAAAGAGCCCGTAAAGAGCACCATCAATAAGTAACCAAGATTTAAGTACTTGAGACTGGACTTGGAGCCGTGTCGTAAGACAATAAACACAAAAGCTTTTGCCTTATATATTTATATATGTGTGTTTTTTCTTTTCATCTTCTCCACCTTATTCCATTATCTCCGTCCTTTCTCTTTGTATCCACGTTCCATCTTTCTCTTCCTCCTCTTCATTTCCATCTTTGCCCTTCCCTCATAACTTCCACCATCTCTTTTTCCTCTTGTCGTCCTCTGACTTATACTTCAGTCTCCTCACAGGGTCAGTGGCGCTACGCAGATTTAGGTTGTCGAACTCCTCGTTGAGCATGAAGCTCCTCTCAACAAGCTCTGCTGATTCCTGCCAGTCTCTGAAACAGTCGGAACCGAAACGACAGATGTCCTGCACAGCATTTGGAGTGAGGACGGAGCCATCAGGACGAAGCACCACTACTGTCGGTATGTCCTTCACCTTAAACATGGCTTGCAGTTCTCTGTAAAACAGAAAAACACATGCACACACAGGCATGGCAATGCTATTCAGCATGTATAATCAGCTTTATCAGTGTGTGGTAATGTATATCCTTATATAACTTTAGAAATACACTCAAATAGGTTAAACATACAAATCTATGCACAGAAACAAATGTTATCTCCATCCACCTACTTCCTGTATGGGTCCTCAAAGGCCAAAAACAGAACCTTTTTGTGCAGCTCTTTGAGGAATCTCTCCTGCTGCTCCTCTGATTGGTCCAAGCTGGAAAGAGGAGGTGGAAATGGAAATCTTAAGAATGATAAAAACAGCGTGAATGTGGGTTTACGCAATCACAAGTGTGCATCAGAGAGATAAAAGACAAGGAAAGATAGGGACCTGATGTAGATGAGTGCAAGCAGTTTGGGGTATTCGATGTATGCTGGATCTTTCAGTCTCTTAAAAAAGTCATTCAGAACGGGCAGAAACTCTTGGCACTTGTCACACTTAGTAGATGCAAAGAAGAGCATCAGGATGCGGTTTTCGAGGATACCGACAATCTCACGCTCCGTGTTCATTTCATCCTGGTCCCAGTTGTTCTCCACGAGAACTCGGTTTAGGAATAGATCCACCATGATGAAGGAAAGGGATGGGAAAAGCCCTCTGTTGAGAAGAGATGGTGAAACACAGATTAGTATACATGTGTGATCTTTATCATGGCTAGCGCAGTTCATTCATTACCCGCATTCATGCAGTCTACACCCCAAATGTAAAAGCTACTTTTACATATATTATATATATATATTACATATATTTGGGAAGTGCAATCACACTGTAGCAGAAAGAGAATTTTTCCCAAATTGTAAAAACATGCATTGTGGCTGCATTGAATCATAGTGCATTAGCCCTGAAAAACTTTAAAATATTGGGTATTTCTCTCTAGAATTAAATATTTATGACTGAATAAGAGAGATCCAAATTAAAGGAAAAACATCTTTATCTTAAGAGTTTTACTATACAAGAACTCTGCTTCATCAGAACTTTGATTTACAGTGGCAGCACAAATGATTGTCATTTAAATGTTGCTTAACAAAAACAGTTCTTCTCATATAGGAGTCCATCACTCAGCATTAAAGTCTGCTTATATTTCTTCCATATTTATCCTGAACAAAGCACTTTATTTATATAAAACACATCATTCTGCCGGTGAGGCAGAGGAAGCTCTTTATAGATATTCAGAAAACAAAAACAGCTTTCAGGTCAAATTAGTTTTATTTTATATACGTATACATAAAAATACATGAACAGAGAACCTTCATTCCGTACATACAAGAAACACCTCTCTGCCACCTTTAACTTTGATCACGACAAGCGTAATTGTTTTCTTTGAATTGAGGGAAAACTGCAGATACAGGTCTGCACACTGTCTGAAATGGTCAGTTAAGTTCGGTTTGTACAAAGGGACAAGTCATCTTTTCAGATACAAAGTGACATCTGGACACTAGTGCACTTGATCAACAGACTGTGCAGACTCATATTATCATTTGATATGTTTTAATTATCTAATTATTTGTTTGTTTGTTTGTTTGTTTGTTTGTTTGTTTGTTTGACTGTCTGTATCAACAGGAGAAACACTGAACCCAGTGAGAAATGGGAACATTTTGGGTGGATGTTCCCTTCATGTGATGCTCATTGACTGACTAGTGTTCATTTTTGTGTTGCGGCCTACTAAAGGACATCCAGTCTGTAAGCTACAATACTTTTTGCAGACAAAAGTCAAAATAAAAATACAACACAGCAGCCCAGCCAGGATCAGCTGGCATGGATGAATCAGCCATTAATGGGTTGGTGTTTTCCACGAGCAGACTTATGGCTCCGAACAAAAAGAAATCACATAAGAAATAAATTTCAGATATAGAAATAAAGTTCAGGCCTAACAGCTCAGAAATGTGTTTTATCTGTCTTGGCCAGCCTGTATTTCACTGTCGCTGCAGTCGCTGCAGGCTATGAATTGACAGCGATAACCTCACAAATTAGATTTGGCTCTCTGGCTCTGAGCTGTGCCAGATCCATTTGAGACTACAACTCTGCACTGAAACTTCCAAGGCTGATGTAGAAGAAATATGTTTGAAATTGAGCAGCATTGCACCTTACCTGGGAAAAAAAGAGAGGATTTACTGGAAGACTCAAGAAAGGTCAGAGCTTAAATCCTACATTTGGAAAAGGTATTTCACAATCATCCAGTTCCATTTTTGAAGCTGATCGATCGCACCTGATATATATAGCAACACTGCCTTGTTTTGTTAGTAGCAAATTTAATAGGCCATCAATCTTTGTACATATACTGGCAGCTGCATATACCACAAGTAATTTACCTCACCTTGAAACTCGTCGACTCCTGTAAGGAAAGAAATATATATCCAGTTTCTCCTTTCTTTCAAGCCATTGTATTCTTTCTTTGATTTGGTATCTTTCTGCCTTTAAATCCTGTGAAGTTTGTTATTTTAGTGACACCTTTCAGTGCCTCTTCACCCCTCTCTCTGTAATTTCTTCACCCTGCACTCTGTGGACTACTGAGAAAGATTACAGATAGCTGGGGGTGTGGCAGTGCTGTAATTCAGAGGCAGAGGTTGCTCCTGTGTGTGTGTGTGTGTGTGTGTGTGTGTGTGTGTGTGTGTGTGTGTGTGTGTGTGTGTGTGTGTGTGTGTGTGTGTGCGTGCGCACCGTGGGGCCTAAAACTCCAGCTCAACAGTAGCAATCTTATTACTTAAAGAGAAGAAGGGAGGGAGGAAGGGAAGGATGAAGAAACAGAACAAATTGGATTGCAAAGAGAGGACTGACGTGTAGGTTAAATGGTGGAAATAACAGAAAACAAATAGATTTGTTAGCATCAAGTGAAGCCTCCCAACCTGCTTCAGCCTTTCCTTCACATTCAAACGTTGCTAGTTGTGGCCTTACTAATTACTGATGTCACTAATTTGCCCCTCAGAGCTTTATAATGATTCTTTTGCATCCGGTTATCAAAGTGATTTGACAGCCAGGATGCGGTAGAATCGAGGAAATGAACTGAGACAGTCGATAGTTTGAGTCCAGTCTGGGTCTAGTAAAACCCCAGCAGGTCCTACTGTAGAAAAGTGGCTATTGATCTGCAGAGGCACTTGCAGAAAATACCTGGCTTAATCTCAGAGAGGGGTGAGGTAAATATAGAGGTGGGGAGAGTGAGAGATCTAATAGGATTAGTCTGAGTCACAGACGTGGGCCAACGCACATTGATGCACACACACACACACACAGGTCACTCCATGGTATAATACACATAAACATACTGTGGACATGTGAGCAAACACACATGCATGGGCTTTTTAGTTTAGTGGTATTGCTTTACTGCCGGTTGGTCGGTCAGCCCACCACTTCTGACATGTCTCAACAACTTTTGGATGGATTTTTTTTACATTCATGTACTTTGCAGGATAAAATTTAAGCACTTTGGAGATTCTGTTTTTTAAGTAGCGCTATCATTAGGTCACAATTCACAAAAGTTCAATTTGTCCAACACTTTTGTCAATGATTAAATACCTGCAAAGGTAATGACATTCCCATCAGCCTCAGCTGTACTTTGTGTTTAGCTCTAATTATCAAATGTTAGCATGCTAACAATGCATACAAATATTGTGAACCTGGCGCATATTACCAGCTAAACATTGGCATGTTAGTATGACATTGTGAGCATGTTTGCATTTAACTTAAAATGCAGCAGCGCCTAAATAAATACAGCTTCATGTGTGAGACCTCAAGAATATGCAACATACTGTAATGGTAAAAAAAAATCAAAAATTATTGTACATACACATCCATCCAGTATAAAGAATAAACATACACACCAGACATGCTTTTAATAAAGTAATTTTAAGTCTGAAGTAAATTTTTTAATGAAATATATTTTATATTCCATGTAATTCAATGAATAAAATGGATGCAGGTATCATGAAACTATGTAACAGTCAGTGTAGCAGGGTCATGCCTCACAGCTAAATGAGGGATTGTCTGTGCAAACAGTGAGGGAGAGGGAGTAATGGTGGCTTGCTGCAGCCCAAACTGACCATTATGTACTTGCAGGGCAGGCAAACACCAGCAGGCACTAATTGAAAGAAATGTCTCAACTGGGTGGTGGGACGTTCATGGCTGTGCTGAAATTAAACTGCTGTGTGCCAAAAAAAAAAAGGCAAGGCAGAGTGTATTTCTTTAAGTTTTAACCACTGTACAAGGACAGAAAACCACAGCAAAAACATGCTACTTAACCGTGTTGCACTGACACTGGCCATGTGTCAACACTGGATTAATGCTTACTTCCTCCTTTTACGGTAAAGAAAAATGATTTTCTGTTTGAGTGGCTAGAAGAACTGGAATTTTTATTAAATAATGTTTTCGGACTAGATTTTTTTTTTCCAGTGCTACCATGTACTTTTAACTTAACTGATGATTGAGTATATCTATATAGTCCAAGCTATATTGAGTAGAAAACAACCAAGCAAGTCTTTCATTATAAAAGCTTTTATTCATTCTTTGGTTAAAAAAAAAGACACACTTTGCAAAAAGAGCAGAGACAACACATGGAAAGTTCATAAAGATCTATATTCATTTGTTTTTCTGATCATCAACAAACAAAATGCAACAAAAGTCACAATATGTAGTGAGGGGAAAACACTAAACGAATACACTGATGCTGTCAAAAGGTTTGACAGGAAATAAAAGAAAAAACAGATACATTCATGAGTGAAAATATAGGTCAAGTTACTAGGTAACAACCTTATTAAACTTAAATAACACACTGACTACTTAGAGCTAAACTAAACAGCAAGAGACTAGGAAGAGCAGTGGTTCCCAACTCAAGTCCCCACAATGTGTCGCAAGATAAATGTGAGGGATCAGGAGAGGATTCCTTTTACACAAAGCTATGCTTTGTTGTTGAAAATTACTGGATAATTTTACTTCTTCAGGACTCTAAAAAGTATTAATTTATATGAAGCAGGGAAAATTGCACCATTATACAACTCATTAGACATATGCAACAGGTGATTAGGGGTTCCAAGTAGACATTGCCAAACAGGTTGGGAACCACTGAGTAAAGCAGAGTATAGCACTGTATAGAAGAGATGTAACAGTGTGTGGTTGGGCTTGGTACTGCATCTTCTTCCAATTTGTGTTGTCTTCTGTTCAATCGGACACAAAGGGGGGAATTTACTTATATTGGTGTACGGGATAAGTCTGGGCGAAATATTATTTAAAACAGGGTACTTTTGGTCAAAGGATGTGTGCTGGATGCAATAAATACAACAAAAGCTGCTAGCGGACTCTTCAAGAGTTAACTCTACATCTAACCTCCTCTCTTAAGAGAAAGATCAAATAGAGGAGAGAGTAATGTACAAGGAAAAACTTCAGTTCCTAATTTACCCTGCCTTTCCTCTCTTTTCTACTGCATTCTGTTATATTCCCTCCATCTTATCCATTTCCCCCCACTATCCCAGCTTTGTTCTATCTCCCTCATCCTTATCTCTGTATGCCAGAGTTCTCTCCATCTCTCCTCCTCATTCATCTCCTCTTCATCACAGCTCGTCCCGTGCACTCCAGTTCTCCAGTTCAGACTGCAGTACGTCAGAGTTTTGGGCCTCAAAGCTCAGCTCCCCCTGCTCTTGAGTTTTCCTCGACTTGGCTCGGTCCCAGTCGGTTCTGACCGTCTCGTTGTCCCAGACCACTGATGTTTCCGTGTCGCTGATGTAGCCCTCGTCTCCTGTGTAATGGGTTGGATACACCAGAAGTGGCTCGGCAGAAAACGCATGCAGGTCCCGACTCTCAAAGTGGTCCATGTACTCTGAACTGATGAGTGAGAAGATGCGATTAGATTAACAAGAGCTCACAAAGAAGAGCCTGATAAAGAGGAACAGCAAGAAGAAGAAGGGATGGTTGGGTTATACTCACACTGGATGTTTGTTGTACATGACAGGGAGGAACTCATCGACAGGAAGCATCTTTGTCAGAGGTTCAGCCCTCAGGAGCTTCTGAGCTCCTTGTAATGACAACATGTAGCCTAATGTCCAGTAGGAGTAGTCTGCTTCCACCAGATTGTGGATGTTTGGTACAGGCGTCTCTGAGTGATCCACCTGCATTCGCTTCCGCCCAATGTAACTGCATTAAAATAAGAGAGACAATAAGTAACACAAGCACTAAACCCAGTTACACCAGCATTTATAACAGTGAAATTTCAGACCTTAATGAACTTGGAGAGTGCAAAATGGTGGAAGTTATCACATTAGCTGTGCTGCAGCATCCAATTTCGTATAACCGTGTTCCACAAAAGAGCTGGAGCATGGTTTCTGTCTGCCGTGAGACAACAGTGCATTAATACATTTTCATAGATCAAATGTGTTAACCTGTTGTCCAGATTGCGACCAAGCAAGTGAGCAATCACCGAGCTTCCAGCAACATTTATTTCACCACAAATGAACCCCTCTTTGCTCAGACTGTGCACTTAGGCAACAAAAAAAAAAAGAATTCACATATAATGGAGACAAATACAGCTGCAAAGTGAGAGATTATTCAACATCGCAAAACACCAAAGACCCCTGGATAATGCAACAGTACTATAAATTTACATTATGGCCATTAGTGTGGAGTGTTTCAACTTTGATTCTGAGAAATCATGTTTTTTTATTCAATTTGGAAAAAACACAAATTATTGTTCCAAGCAGATTATTTATATGTCTTGATACATGACTGGAGGGGATCTTTAAAACCCAAAACTGATTTAAACTGCTAAATGTATTACAACATATATTATAATCTTTAGCCTCAGTGGTGCATGCAGCAGAATTTTTAACTCAGCAATTGGATGTCCCTTATCAAAACTCTCCTTGGGAGTTGTAGTTTTCTCCTCACATTTTTATATACCTTCTTACCGCAGGTGCTTATTTTTGTACAAATGATTCAACTGGGAGACTTCCATGCTCATACTGTACAAGCTTTGGAAGAGCTGTCAGCTGTCACTGTCAAGTGACTGACAGCTCAGAAAATTAAATGGACTTTTACATTCAGAAATAACTTATCCCAGTTTACTATCCTATGACTAAATCTCTGTGAAAGTGAACATGCTAGAGCAGCTTATCAGTGTTATGCTAAAATATTCCCACAGGTGTTTTCTGCATCTGATTAGTGCTATCAGAGATATCATGTGTGACAGATGGACAGATTTCACTGTAGGGGGACAATAATCCTCTCTGTTTACTACGTCATGCTTTCCTTCTGTTCACTGAAGCGTCACTCACATGAGATCCCAGTCCAGCTTGTGTGTTGTCACTTCCTGCAGCAGCGCCTGGAGACGTCGTTTGAAGAACACTTCGAAGCGGAGGTCGTCCTCGATGACCAGGGAGGTCTGCAGACCCCGATCTACGATCTACACACACAGGAACACGTACACATGAATATAGTGCATTGCAGTGCTGCTGAGATGATGGTGAGCTGGCTAAGCATTACTGAATTTCTTTTTTCAGTTCCCTTGTTCAAAAGTAT